TGTTCTACAACTATATAGTTCTACAACTATATATCCTCTTATTTGATCAACTGATTTGTAGCTGAGAATTTTAATGATAGAATAGCTGAGATTGAAGGTAAATGTGAAACATAGAAGTTAGCACTTAACCTCAGACTGCCAAAATTAACATCACACTGCTATGTGGGTAAAAATGAGGTTCAGAATTTCATTTGTTGGAGGACATGGGAAATCAAATTGGAGAGGCCAAGATTTTTGTATTTGTGATTTATTCTGCCAATAATTGTAATGAGTACCACCTTTGGAGATTCTGAGCAACATTAGTCATGAATCTTTAGTTTTGCTCTTCTCCAGCCATGTGGCAGGAATTCAGAAGGGTGGAGTCCCCTTCCCTCTGGAAGTATCTGATAAAATTCTACCCATTCCCTCCTCCAGATGCTTTTTCCTTTTCCACATAGCCCTAGACAGGATATGGGTGTGGGCTTTATACTCACAAATGACACAAAGAAAAGACTGAGGAGAACATGAAAAGGAGAGAAGTTGACAACTTAAAATATTACAACACCTGATTAAGCCAACTCTTTGCTCATCTACTCTACTCAAATGCAATAGCTGAAGTACTTACAACATCAATGTTTTATTTTTTTAATGGATTGTATAGGATATGAATATGAGCTTTGTCATCTTTCAAACTTCAGGAACCAATTTTAAAAACCTCACACCACGGTTGATCATATAATATTAGGATATTATTGCTTAACATTCTATTTCAGTTCAGCTCAAGTAATTTGATTTTAAAATGTCATTAGGATTTGAATTAAACTAGATATAATCCCTATTATAACAGTCTACCCTTTTCCAAGTTTCCTACACCAATCCAGGTTGTATATATTGGAAACAAAATCAACATAAAAGTACTAAAATTAAATTTAGCATTGCTATAGTGTAATCTCTGGGGATTTCAGATTCAGATTATTCCCATTCTATTAGTCCTCCTGAAAACTTTTTGAAATATCTTTTTATTTCTAATTCATGTTAAGTATTATTTATGAGGCCCAAGATAATCTCATTAGAATATCACAACCCCCTTGTAAATAATCATGTTCAATAATATCATTTTCTAAATAATTTAATTAACAGTACTTGCTCTGAGTGCAATATTCTTATTCCAAAGAGCTCTCCCCAAACATTCCAATTGGCGCTATCAATTTGTATCATGAAGTTCACTTCAATCTTCAAAAACTGGTGTTTTTGTCTGTGATACTGTTATACAACACACTATGCTTACAATTTTATTTTTCTTTCTTTTTTTGTTACCATTATTACCATGCAATTTGTTTGTTATATTTTAACATTCTTATTGACTGCAATATTTGGCAAATGTATTAATTTCTACATAGTATTATACAGCATCATAGTTTGCAATAACAGCTTCAATTGCTTTTACAGTATATTCACTCTTGATGAAAAGGGAAGCTATGTACCCATATAGATATGATTCTCAGCAACACACGTCACCAGCGTGAAGTGATAATCTTATAGTTTTACAGCAGTAGTATTCTATATCTTTGTAGATACAAAGCTAAGTATCATTTGATGACTTGATAAAAAAGCAAAGAAGCAGGAGGAACAAATGATTAAATAAATCCCAAGACAGAAACATTTTAAAAATTATCCAGATTTTTCTGTTTGCTGTGGAAAACAAGGTAAAAGAAAAATATGCGATAATAAATCTGTCTTGTTAGATGACCAAAACAAGCAAATAAATAAAGAAAAAAATTTGATTACATATTTTTGATTTAAAAAATTGGAGAACAGTTCCCCAATGCCAAATGTAGAAGTGCACAATTCTCTTTTGTCCTTTAGATTTAACCCAGAAAATTGGCAGTTGACCATGGTCAAGACAGTTGAGTCTGAAAGCTGATAAGGGAAAGTTGAAATGAAACATTAAATGGGACTGTTGTACAAACAAATGTTTATCTTTTCAGCCACATGTAAATTAAATCATGTTTCCTATCTAAAGTTGCTTCAGCAGGTTGGGTCTCTTTAGCTCTTTAACTGTTTAACTTTTTAACTCCTCTTGATTATGGATTCTGTAAGATTATCAAAAGAAAATGTGTTCCTACATTCCAGGTGCTATCTGTTATTTGTACATCTGTGTATTTAAATCATTCAGGTTTTTCAGTATGAATAGACATTTCTTTAAAAAGGAAAAAGAAAGGATTGATTACAACCAAATGTTTCTGAGAAATTGGCCTCTGGATTTTTCATTTTGCTTAGAGATCTTTCTCTTCTGATTTTTCTTAAAAAATAAGGATCTTAAGCTTGTAGTAAACTCCAAGGAATAGTACCATGACAATTTAAATAAAGTCTCCTAGTCAATTATTTATTTTGCTATTTGCCACATTCATGGAATACATTGAAGAGATTTGGTTTACTCTTAACTCTAGTAAAGTACTGAATTTACATGTCATTTTGAGAGGGGGGGGGGAGATATATTAGTATTATAAAGATAGTAGGAAAGAATTCAAGAATCCACAAGTGCACAATAATATCCTTAAAATGACTGCCAAGTATAAACAAATTCGAAAACCAAAACTCCTCATGCATCTATGAAATCGTAAACAATCACCACCACTTTTTGGAAGACTTTTCTCTCTTGGACTCAAATCAACGCTCAGTTACATACAGCCAATGGCCTTGGATACATTTTCCAAGATGCATCCCAATTTTTTAATAGAACATGAATAAAAATTATGAGACGGATTGAAATATACATCCATATAGTCATTTTCCTGCATATTGGCTACATATTTGCAAATCCAATTCCATATTTATCTAATTTCTGGTTAAGGGCCTCTCTATGGATTGAAACCTGTACTTAAACAACTGGGGAATTTGTCTTCCAGTAATATGAGAACTTTCAAAAATGCTAATAAAGTACTTGAAGATACTGCTTAGAATAAAGAAATAGAAATACACACACATAGAGAGACCATGATTACCGTGATTATCTGAGAGTTAATTATGAGGCAGTTTTTATATGTGATACTAAAAAAGGATTCAAGCTATTATTTGAATGTCACCTTCAGATTTCCCATTCTTTGCAGGCATGATCAGGTTTTTACAATTGCAAATCAGGGCACAAAGTTGGGTGGCTCAAAATAATACGATCTACTTGTTCCAAGGTTATTTACAGACCAGATAGTGTCCTCATTGCCCCCAATATGTTATGAATATTGACTAAGAGGCTGATTATCTGTGTCCACTAAAATAGCAATGCACAGCTGGGTTTTTTAATAAAGAATTTCGTTTACACAATATGTCTACTACTGCAGGATGAGTTTGTAAATTCTTTATATGACAGATAACATTGTTTTACCAATATAGAATGCATTCTATTCTATCTAATAATAGGCATTTGTCTCCAGAAACACTGTGGATGGTTATTAGGGAATGTGGACAATGTGCAGGTTCCCAGCAGGTGTCTAATATATATTTCTGGGCATTTGGAGAATCAAACAGAATCAAACATGTCAACTGAGAGCAATTGAGGATCCTTTGGGGTGTGCTTCAAAGCACAATGGATATAAAACATTCAGAAAAGAACCATATACCATCTGCAGCTACAACAGCTACACCATGTAGCATCTAATGATATGCTAAAGGAAAAATAGAATAAGTTGGCTACTTTTCTTTTTGGACAGAACATTTTAGTTGGACTATGGTCCAATCAGTTGTGGGCCATTTTCTCCTAAATAAGAGCAATGTAGTTATCATCATGACAACATCTTCACTTACAGATGAGCTTTATTAACTACAGAAACAAACTGGAGAAAAGGCAATACAATGGCACATCGTTAACTTCCCATTGCTCAGAATGGAAGGACTTTTTGAATGGCAAAATATCCTCACACATGGTCTATAAATTGTAAAATGCAGTATCAACTGGTGAATATATTCATCTGATAAATTCTGCTTTACTGTTTGCTACTGTTAGTATTGTATTAGTATTGGTTTGGATTGTATTAATGAATGTTTTTCACTAAAGGTATTTATTTGAAGAGTCTGGATATTGCAGTACTTGACATGTTCAAATAAAAAAAAACATTTTCTAGTCACATTGTGGACATAAAGCCAGCTAAGTGACCTTAGGTCACTCATTCACTCTTAGCCTTAGGAAGAAGGCAATGGCAAACCACTTCTGAAAAAACCTTGCCGATAAAACTTCAGGGACTTGTCCAGGTGGTCATTAGGATGAACACTGACTGGAAGCCTTGCATACATGTACGTGTTCATGAACACACAAACAGGCATGTGCACGCACGCAAACACACATCAAATATATTTTATCCTGCTGCATTTTAAGCATTTACAGAAAGATAATGCATTTGCAGTGGAACTGATAACTGTTTTTGAAACTAAACATTGGACAGTAGGGACTGGGGAGAAGGATACATTTTAAAGAGCAAGCTTTAATAAATAAGACTAATTACAAACTGAATATACCCTTCTAAGATATTAAAACAATAAACTATATAGCATAGACATTTGAGGATTACAAGCATAGAACTTTTTTTTTTTTTTTTTTTTAAAAAGAACAACTTAACAGTTTTTTGGCTTATACTGTAGTTATGTACTCTGGGTTAAGAATGAATGATAAAAATACATGCTAGTGTAACTAAGCATTCTTAATGATTTGTGGAAAAGATCATAGCATTCCAAAGCAATGAATAAATACCTGCATCTATTATCTGTATGCTTCTGTACAGCATTTCCTCACAAAGGGAGACTACATATCTGTACCCATTTCTGTCTATAAATCACCAAATTGGAAGAATTCGATTCCATACTGCGTTCTTTTACTACTTTTATCTGCCCTTTGAACCTCATTACATTACATTAAAAGTACACACTTCTATTCATATTTCATAAACGATGGCATACAGACTCATAAATTCCACTCTTTCACTTTTGTGCATAAGAGGTTCATAGGTTGTATCTTCTTTTCAAATACTCACCCAACAGGCACAAAACATAGAAGGTTGCCCAGAGGAGTTGCCTTTCCTTCATGATCTTAAAACTCCACACTAGCATCATTCCCGGTACAGTGCTTAGGACTAACAACTGAATGACTCTTAGAGCTCCCCTCAGATTTAGTTTCTCTGCCGTGTTCTGGAGGCTTCAGTGTTTCTTCCTATTAACTAAAGCTTTTTGAGGTCAGTTCATTGTGGGATAGGATTCTCTCCTAAAAGATGTGCTTGTGGCTCAAGATTGTGAGGTGGAGTTTTCTGAAGTCTGATCTCATAGCTTTATATAGTTCAGAAGAGTCTGTCAACATCATTGTTAAACTTCCCCTCACCCGACAATAGCACATCAGTTAACACTTTCCTGGAAACTCTTTGCTTTTATTATGGACAGAACATAAGCTTTAAATATGTATATATATATGAGAACAAGCATTCTGGGTACTTTAACATGAGCAGTGCTGGAGAATTTTAAAACCACATTTCTTCTATAAAAATAATTTTGATTAGCTGCAAAATTTAAACAAAAAGAAACCAAGAACTAACTGCTGAAAGGCACTTTTAAAGTAAGATTTTTTTTCCCCACGTAGAAGAAAGCAAACAGAATGAATGATTTAAAATTAATTAGCTTCAAGCCAACCCAGGAGAGAACTTTAGATAGTGGCATACTGAAATTGAAGGACTTGAGAACAAAATGTTATAAAGCCAGTGGAGGGAGCCTTACTGGGCAGCTAGCAGTTTCTTCTTGAACAGAAGATTCTTAAGAATCTTCATAACCTTTATTAAATGTGGGAAAGGGCACTTAAACATTTGGCTAGCTATTTTCTAAAAGCCTCTGGCATAGTAATTTGTATGCAGTTTTTTTAGGAAGTTTCTTAATACTATGCACATAGTATATTTAGATAATGATTACATTTTTACTGGACTATCGACATGCATTGATCTAGGAAGTGTGCTATCACTTGGGCACTAAAGTCCTGTATTATCTATTGCAAGGGCAGACAATCATCTTAATGTGAAGCTCACATTTAGAATTTCCACATCATATTGACAGTCTCACAAAACTATTATCTTGGGGAGTCTCGCACATTTTTAAAATTTTGTCATGGCGGACAAGAGCAGTCACAAAACAAAATAGCAGTCTTTTATCAGACATTCCCTATCATCTTCTATAGTTCCTCAGGATAGAATCCTCCCAGCTACCACATTTTTTAAACATATATTTCATACCCATATTCCTACTGCTACAGGATTTCATCAGTGATCTGATATGTATTTTTGAGCATCATACAGTGAAATTAATATAGTAGTGGAGCGAAATGGGAACAGACCAATCTGCATAGGAAGGCTGGGCTACTTAGCCATAATAGTTACTATCTCTGCTTTTTTCTATTTATTGAGAGTCACATTAAGGAATCACTGTTTTGATACTATTCCCATTGAATGTCAGATCAGGCTCCAATACACCCACAGAAAAAAGCCATCTTATAATAGACCAACTCATTGGTGGAATTCAATTTTTTTTACTACCAGTTCTGTGGGCATGGTTTGGTGGGCATGGTGTGGCTTGGTGGGCATGGCAAGGGAAGGATACTACAAACTTTCCATTCCTACCCCACTCCAGGGGAAGGATACTGCAAAATCCCCATCCCCCCCCACTCCTGGGGGAAGGATATTGCAAAATCTCCATTCCCACCCCACTCTGAGGCCAGCCAGAGGTGGTATTTGTCGGTTCTCTGAACTACTCAAAATTTCCACTACTGGTTCTCCAGAACCTGTCAGAACCTGCTGAATTTCACCCCTGGACCAACTGGTTGTCTGATGGATGACCTCCCTCAAAAGAGAATGTGCAACCTCTTTTTCAGTGGGTTTTGATACCACAGCTGGGGTGAAATCCAGCAGGTTCTGACAGGTTCTGGAGAACTGGTAGTGGAAATTTTGAGCAGTTCAGAGAACTGGCAAATATCACCTTTGGCTGGCCTCAGAGTGAGGTGGGGATGGAGATTTTGCAATATCCTTCCCCTGCCACGCCCACAAAGCCACACCCACAAAGCCATGCCCACCAAGCCACACTATATGCACCAAGCCATGACCACAGAACCGGTAGTAAAAAAAATTGGATTTCACCACTGTACCACAATAATGCCCAGTTATGCTTTTCTTTTCCTGCAAGTCAGAATTACACATTTTAAAAGCAAGATTAATCTGAGTTTTGGACAGTACAGAGTTTTCTCTGTACTGAATGCCGGGTCTAGATAGGATTCCATTATTTCTTGAAGAACTGAGACCCAGTCTGGGAAGGGGAGAGGGTCACAATAAATATATTTTTATACTTCTGTCCATTTAATTTCGTTCTAAGAGTAAACTGGGCCAACCACAGATGAGATTTACAACACAGTTGTTTTCAATCTTCATTTACTAAAATAAGCAGTTTTATGTTCCTTGAATTCTTTTATGTATTCACCCAAACACATGTTCAAAATATACAGTGCACTCCTTTTTCTCCTTGCTTTTAAACTCCAATTGAGCAGTAAATACCTAAGCAGTGACTATAACAAAATGCATGTTTTCTGAGTTCATCTCGACTCCGGAAAGCTTTGAAAATGAAAATTTAGGTACTATACTTATGATAAAATGGCTTATTTTTCAGTGTTCAAAATTGTAATGATCAGCTGCACACACCTTCCTTATGTTGAGAACATCTTTTACAAAAATAAAATTCTTTTACCAATCATTTATATTTGAAATATGTACTTCCTTATTTCAGATATAGAGATGGGGAAAGAATTTGGAGGTATTTCTCTTCCTTCTTAATGGAAGTTCAACATAGAAGTAACATTTTGAAACATTTTAAAAGTAATTTTGCATACACAATCTTTCTGTTTTATGTTGATAAAAATTGAATGGTCCAATTCTGCTGAACCTTTTGTTAAATTTCAACTTCAGAGGCCCCGTAAGTTAAAGGAACAGCTCATAATTTCCAGCAACAGGATTGGACCGGTCACCTATACACACCTGCTATATGTGCCCTTGCTGGTTTCTTTTTCCATAGCCATGACCCCTGCAGGTAAATGTGACCTGGTACAGCTTTAAAACAAGTCTAGGGCAGTTCATTGCTAGACAAGATTCAGGCTAAGAGGCCAGCTGTGGGCCAGCCAAACTGGAGGAGAAGGATAAGCCAAGACAAGAACTAGTTGTTGCTATTGGAACCTGTGGCTTGATCTAATTCAGATAACACCCCTGGATAAAAGCCATTCAACTAGGCAAAAGTCACTGGATTTAAAAGGTAGATAAATTTAAAAGATCAAAGCTGGAATGTCCCTGTAGAAATGGCTAAGGAGGGTCATTGCTCATTCATTTTCTACTGAAAAAAAAAAGTTTGACATGCTGACATGTTGAGAGCACCTCCAGTGTTAATACCTTGCAAGGCGATGAAATGCAATGCAATGACAAGTTAATGGTGAACTTTTTATGGAAGGAAGAAATAGCTAGGGTTTTTCTTTTAAAGCTGTGGATACCATATGTAAAGATGCTTTTGATTTTCCGGACTTTAAAACATGTTTGACATGAAAAAGACATTGATTTCTCTGCAAGCTTTATTGGAGAATATTACTTGGTGCTATAAAGTTCTGTCAAATTTTTCATTCTTCTATAGCAGGAAATGAAGAATGTTAGGCACACTGGGTTCTATTGGATAGAAAATTAAATTTGACTCCAGCTATCATGAAAAATTAATGCTCTGGAGTAATCCTATTTAAAATGGTTGAAAAACTTTTCTTTTAAAATCTAGGTAGAAAATAAGATTAATGCTTTCAATCAAGTAATGTGTAATGAAATCTTTACAATGTTGGAAGGATTATAAAAGGAATACTGTATAACATGCATAAAACATAAAACAAAAAGAGCCCTGGTGGCGCAGTAGACTCAAAGCACTGTTATTATCATCAGCTGCCTGCAATTACTGCAAGTTCGAATCTCACCAGGCTCAAGCCTTCCATCTTTTCTAAGGTAGGTAAAATGAGGACCCGGATTGTGGGGGCAATAAGCTGACTTTGTATAAATATACAAAAGTATGAAGGCTATTGCTTAACGCATTGTAAGCCGCCCTGAGTCTCCGGAGAAGGGCAGCATATAAATCAAATTTTTTTTTTAAAAAAAAACAAACCAATCAAAATATAATTTATGTATCTCTTAGTTTTATTGTTTGGCTCTGATATTCTCTTGGCTTCCAACATTTCTTAAGCATTCTCTATGAAAATGCCTTTTCGAGGACCAAACCAACATTGTTCTGCAAAAATTAAAACTCTACATCAAGAAATGTAGACAAGAAACATACATGAGATATGGAATAGTGAGTTGGAATATCTTATGTTGCAAATCAATGCCATCAGGTGTTTTTTTTTTTTTTTTTTAGAAAAGTATGTTTTACATGATTTCAAAATTAATTTCATACAGGAAAAAAATATTGTACTGGATTCAAAATGTTGGTTCATTAATTAATTAATTAATTTTAATTTATCAACTTTCAGCTTTTGAAGTAGATTAGTTGTGAGGCAAAATTAGACACTACAATTTCCCATTGCATGAGTTTAATTCAGTAATAAAATTTGAATAGTAATGATGTTTATATACAAATATATAATTAATTTTTTATAATGAAGAACATGATGAAATTTTGAAATCTTAGATACTTTTTAAAAAAATAATTATTTTTTTTGTTTCATTCTTTCCCCACACCCACTTTTAGTTAATATTGCTTACAGAAATTTCTTTATACAGTCATAGTTTGTTTGTTTATTTATTTATTTATTTATTTATTTATTTATTTATTTATTTATTTATTTATTTAATTTGTACCGCCCTTCTCCCAGAGGGGACTCAGGGCAGTGAACAGCCAAAATTAAAAAACATACAAATACAAAAGTTAAGATAATTAAAAAGAATTAAATCATTAGCTTCCCAATTTAAAACCCATAAAAATATATGATTCATAAAATATATGATTGTTCTTATGTGTTATCAGCTGTAGAGCTGGCTTTTCATCAGAATAGAAGAGTAACTGCCTATTTACTACCCACTGCCTATGGGTTACTTCCACACATCTATAACAATTGATAGGATTGAAACATATATCCTTCCAAGAAATATTATCTTATGTGATAATATTTTTTGAGAAACATGTATAACCCAGAACTAATATCAATAGATTTGCATACTAAGACGTTCTGTTGAAGCTTTAATAATGTAACATGTTCACA